TCATTGACTGTTGACACTCACCCTTAACCGTATGCTGGTCTGTGGCTGCAAGCAGGTGACTGAAGCATGCAGCCATGGAGCAGAACTGTTCAGATCCATGGTCCTAGTTTAGTGTGTGACCTTGAGTTGATTGTCATTTGTATTAGAATTTACCATTCCCAGTGCTAAACCAATTTCATCATAGCATGAGTTGTTTTTGCTGAACCAAAGAATTTTGTGAATTCATAGTCCTGAGTTGTGATGCTATTGTCACCAAAGCAGGACTTATTTTCTCTGCAGTGGAACCCAAATCTGTGTAATTAAGTGCTAAAATCTCCACCAGCCAAGTGTCAGGGCTTCAGATGTAAAGTGCCCAAGCTGGGAAATGCAGAGATTAGATCCACAGAGCAGCTCTGGCTTCCTTATGAAGAATGGAGCATTTTGTTTACCAGTTAAGCTCCTAACTACATGAAGAGGTTTAGTGCAGGTTTGTGTCACGTGGGTGAGTGGTGTAGTCATGACCAGTGCTGCTCGTTCCCTGCCCATGGCTGACGCTCCCAGGTGTGCTGGGTCTTACCTGTGCTCTGTGCTCCAGGGCTCTCTCCTGATGCATGGCACCCTTCCACGTGTTTAAATGAGGGATTTGACTCTTTGCTAAACATCAGCTCTTCCCTGTGGGTTACGACGAGAGACCTGAACTTGGATCAGACCTTTGTGCTCTCTTGTCCTCTCTGAAGGGGTCCACTGCTCGGGTCTCATGGCTGTTTTGCATGTGACCTTCACAGGAGGCAGGAAGGCCTGTGAGAGGAAGGATCCCTGGGCCTGGGCTGACCTTGTTGTGTGGCTCTTTGCTGAATGGCAGAAGAGGCCATGGGCATGCGTGGCTGGGGGGTGTGGGCGCTCTTTGTTCATGGAGTCTCACCTTCTAGAGTGGAAGCTGCATGAGGCAGGCACAGTGACTGTGGAGTCCCTCCTCCTCTGTCCCAGCCAGAGGGCTCCATGCAGGGCTATTGTCAGAGGGGCAGAAGGAGCCACACAGTCTCTGCTGTGCCATGGACCCTGGTTCATGGCCAGGCCCTTCCAGTTTGTGCTGTGTCCCCCTGCCGGCAGGCCCCTTACCTGTGCCCTCCCTCGGGCTTTCCCCGGGACAGGTCCTGTGCACACAGGCAGCACCAGCAGACCTGGCTGTGGACCTGGAAGACAGGCTCCCTGGGGGAGAGGTGGCAGGGAGAAGTCCTGGCTGCCCGTCAGCTGTCCCTGGTGAGCAGTGCTCACCACCATCACCCTCCCTGTGCCTCTTGTTTGCTGGACATGGAAAGATGGATAGAAAGTAACTGCTCTTTGTTTCCTTAGAAGAGGTATTCCAGAGCAGCAGTTAGGTTCCCGTGTGGCTTTTTCCACACTAGGTCGAGCTCCTCCCCACTTGCGTTGTTCCCTGCATTTGCCACCACTCACCACCCCCTATTGGTCTGTCTGTCCACCCACCTGTCCAAGCAGACTGTGGATGCGGCTGTCGTGCAAATGCTGCCCTTCACCCCGTAGCGCTGCACTGGCCCTTGTCATTTGGCATCATCTCAGATCATATGCAGGGGCAGTGTCGCCGCCGCTTTGCTGTGGGGATGTTCATCTGGGAAAGGACAGACCCTCGTCAGACACTCAAGTGGCTCAGGAGGCGCCATCTTTCCTTTTGCAAAGGTAGTAACTGTGCATTGTGAGAACGCACTGCTCCTGCGTTCTGCACAGAAGATGAGCCTGCCTTCTGCTCCCGCCGTGCCGAGGGTGTCCAGGGCTCCTGCACACTCTGCTTGTGTTTATGGAGGGGCAGTGTAGAGCTTTCCATGTGAAGGGAGTTGGTGATCAAGGTGGGGTATTTTATAAATTGACTTTGTGACTTAAAAATATAGCAGGGCAGCATTTTCTAAGAAGGCTATTTAACCCCTGCCCTCCTAAGCCTTTCTACAATGTAAGATGACAGGTAAAATTATTTTTAGTTAAATATCTGTCTTTATATCCTGGGACTTTACATTCTGTGGTGGTCCACTTGGGACTGCTGTCTTCCCGGGCTGCAGGAGGGCTCCTCCTCCTCCTCCAGGTTCTTGAGGGTTAGCTGGTGTACTTTTGATCTCCTTGGGGTCATGGCTTAAGCCTCTTCACCTTGGTGTTCCCAGGCCACAGGGCCTGCCCTGTGCAGGGAGGTGCTGCCATGGTAACAAGGGAGAAGGGGGGCTGGTCCACTCCAGAACAGCACCAAACACACCGGTGTTAATGTTCATCTGTGATGAAACGATTAACATAAAAACTAGGATGGAGTCAGGAAATTCTGTCATTTTTAGCAATGTATTTTGCATAAATGTGTCAACTAGAGCATCCCAGAGGTAGCCCATCCCCGGGCCAGGCAGTCAAAATGACTGGGAGGAGGTTGAGATTATGGGTGTCCCCCCAGCCCCCTCAGGAGTGCATGTGCTTATCCACCTTCTGTCCCACCCGCCGCCTCGAGGCAGCTTGTGGAGCAGAGTGTCTTTATGGCTCAGGTGAGAAACAGGTAAGCCCAGTTCTCCAGGAGCCAAGGGCAGTGCTGCCCCAGAGCACATGGTCACCACTTTCCATCACTGGCCACCAGGCCCGTTCGCCCTTTTTACTTGTGTATTCATAAGTTTCCCCTGTGGGTCACGTTTCTTTCTTTGAACCTGGGATGGCTTGGAATTCCTCAGTGTCTGTGTTTCTCTCTGTTATTTGTGATCTGAGTAAAGTCTTTCCATTGATGTTGATGGTGTTGTCTTTCCTGTTTGTGTGACATATTTGGGAGCTGAACCCAGCCACATTGTTGTGTCTGCCCAGCTGCAAATGTCCTGACCCAGTTGCCTCTGGCCCCTGACCGTGGGGCCTCCCTGGTGTTCCATGCTCCAGTTCCTCCCATCTCCTCTCCCTGCCCCTGGGCTGCACATGCCTGGTGGAAAGTGTGTATCTTTGGAGTCAGGTGGCCTTGAGTTAGGAAATCTATTCTGACTGTTAGGCTTTTTTGGTGTCTTGATTTTGAGGACACATTCCCCCTGCCATTTCCCTGGTCCTTGTGGAAAGTGGGTTGATATCAGCTTCCAAGAGGTGGAAGGGACCCAAGCCCGCCAATCCCACCTGTGGTTCTGTCCAACCATGCTCCCAGGACTGCCAGTGTCCTGTCCTCTGTGGGGCCATGTATGGGGGCCCTGGATGGTCTTGCCAGCCCAGGGGTATTTCTGCACCCCACCCCTGTGCTCTGAAGTGGCCATGATAGCCTGGGCTTCCACAGTGACCTAGCCTGGGCTTCCACAGTGACCTAGCCTGCTCTTAATGCCGTGGGCTAGTGAGGGGGGGGGGCTGCCCTGTTGGACCTGGGCCAGGGGAGGTTGATCTCATTCTAACAGGGCAGTTCTGATTCTCTTGGTGTTTAGAAGACAGAGCATCGTAAGAGCTCTCTGAGTTCAGTGCCATTACCTCATTGCATCAAAGAGGAATGAAGGGCCCATTGTGAGAATCGACACCTAGAGCAGGCTGCTGCCCATTTCCTTGGGTAAAGTACTAAGTTGGCTGAACAGAGGAATCGGGGCTTTTGCCCATCTCTTGCAGCACCAGCCCTGCTGCTCCTGTGAACCAAGGAGAGGCTTCTGAGGCCGGGGTGGGGGGTGGGGGTGGGGGGCCTGTTTGTTCACTCTTTTTTTTTGTAGCCGGGAAAGCACCCCTATGCTGGTAAAGCCCTGGAAAGTGAGAGCATGTTGGTGGAAAACATCTCAAAAAAAGTCCTCTGATGATGGTGCTGAACCAAAGAATTTTGTGAATCCCTCTTCCCTTGTAGCTTTCTGGTCTCTGCTGTGAACCAAGAACCAGGGAGGCAGTGTAATTACTGCTGGTGTGAGCTAGGACCTTGCAGGGAGGTGGTGTGCTCACTTGCTTCTGGTGGGAGCTAGGACTGTGCAGGCTGCTATTAAGAAGGTTGGTGTCAAGGGTGGATAGCAGGTGAACAGGAGTTGAAGCTCTGGTCCTTCCTGGGAGCCATGATGCAAAAAAACAGGCTGCTGGCACAGGGCTGTTTTGTCTCCACTCCCTCCCTGTCCGTAGTGTGGTGGAAGTGGGGATGTGACAGAGGTAAAGGGTGATCATATTTGAAACACAGGGAAGGGGGCCTGGCTATGACGAATGTGAATGTAGCAGGTGCTGCTGTTGTCCATGCTGTGACTGCACGTCTGCTCTGCTCAGGACTTTCTGAATGTATCTGGACTAACCTGCCTTCCTTCTTAAAGAACATGTTCCTTGCAAAGATGCATGCACATTTTCAAATAAAATAGAAGAAAGAAAATTAAATAATAGGATCCATCAATTTTAAACATTTGCGAGTGCTATGCTGGATGATAGCAGTTTTTGTAAGGATCTGAAATTACATTGTTCAAATATCTGATAAGTCATTTCAATTAGGCATCTGTTTTGCATTTTAAAAACTTTTAAGTTATGTTTCCTCATTAGGTGTGTTATACTTTCAGGAGATTTCTGAGTGCATGTTGTCAGTTATTTCTTTGAAGCACATCTGTGTTACTGCTTTCCGGGGTGTTTGATCTTACAGGAGTATTTACACAGTGTAGTTTGGAAACTCTAACCTTGGAAACAGAGTTTTAGAGGAATTACTGCTCAAGGAATATGTAAATATATTACAGAGTTCAAAAAATTTGATGGAGAAACTTACAGATCTGTTAGGAGTAAGTAATATATTCTAGGTTCATTCTGGTCAGAATGTGAAGTGCCTGAGAAGTAATAATATACAATATATTAATTATGTTAATTAATTGGAGAGGATTCAGAGTATAATTTTCTGCCACTAATTAGGTATTAAAATGGAGGCATTAAGTGATGAGGTGTGAGACGCCACAAGCTGGTTGGTGGTAGGAAAGAGTGGGTGGGGGTCGACAGCGCCTGGGGTCTCTCGTCGCCACTTCCTGGTGTTGTTTACTTCTGTGGCTAATTGCACCTCGTCTTTCCCTGCTGGTGCTGCCTAGAAGAGGAAGACGTGGATGCGGTGGACGTCTCCAGCGTGCCTGAGGAAGTGCTGCGCAACATTGAGGCCGACACCTACTGGTGCATGAGCAAGCTGCTGGACGGCATCCAGGTGAGCCTGGCAAGGGCCGCGGGCGTTGGGTCCAGCCCACAGGCCTGCTCCCCGACCTGAGCCTACTCTTACTAGCTTTAGAAGCCTCCGTTTCTGCATCTGGAGCAGCAGCCCGCCCTCCTCAAGGTGACGGGTGTGAGCCTTGTCTTTGTGTCCCTGGGTGGTCATGATGTCCTGTTCAGGGTTTCAGCGGGAAGGTGGTACAGTCTGCTCCCTGTGGCTTCTGGTTTTTCACCCTGTGCCCACAGAGGCCAGCCTCCAGCTGCATGTGGATTGGTCCAGGAGCCATGGACCACATGTGGCCAAGAGTGCTTGGAGGATATTGCCCTTTAAAGGGCGTCAAGGTCAGTGCTGCTCATGTCTGTAGTACCTGGGCCCACGAGCACATCTTAGTTCTACCAGCTGGGTGCCAGGCTCCAGTGTTGGGGACTGTGGCTGCCTCTGGTCCAGCATGCCGTGTGGAGGTGTTGTCTCCTGCACCCCTGCCGTGTGCTGGGTGTTGTTCTGTAAACCCAGGAGGCCAGGGGTGTGAGGTGTGAGGCCGCAGAGCTCCCCCTGGGCTGCAGCACCGGGAGGTGGCAAGCATGGCAACTGAGGACTGAATGTGGGGGGAAGGGACTCCAAGGACTTGTCAGACAGGAGGGCAAGCCTCGGCAGGGTGTGGTGGACGGAAGCTTTTGCAGGACTAGACGTTCGTCCCAAGGGTCACTGTGGGAGCCCTCATGCCCAGGTCCCTGCAAGGGTTCCTCCCAGCTGCAGGGCGGCCTTCCTCCAGCAGGTGGGAGGCGGGGCCTGGCTGCGCTCATTTTGCTTTTCCTGTACTGTTGTCACCATAGCCGTGCCTGGTACCCCTTGTTAAAGAGGTCTCAGCTCTGCTGCTGGATCTGCCAGGGTTAAAACAAGACTTTATGAAGTTCAGTATGAAGGTTAATTTTAAAAAATGAGCCACGTTGGTTGCATGGAGGAAAACCGGGTCTGTATTGCTTTTGATAACTGAGGAAACGGCGAGAGAAATTCGAATTCCTCCTGTAAGTGAAGAGTGGAAGCCCCGCATCTCCCGCTAATCGGGATGTGATCGTGACTTATTCTGTTTCTTGTAAAGAAAAATGTGCCCGCTAGAGATGTATTTTGGCCCAAGTGTCAATTTTTCATGTCTGTCCTTTGTTAGGGTTTTCTTATTTTTTATCTTTCCTTCTAGAACTTAAGGCTCTCCCCTTAGAAGAGGGATTGAATCATGATGTAAGACTATCAATTCCCACTGTCGCTTCTCTGGTTGTGAGTGATGGAACTCGTGCCATTTAAAAACAAGATTATCTGGCTGCTGTTTGTAAATAAGATCAGCTGTACAACACGGTCGGTCGATGCTGGTTTTCCTTTTCCTCTGAGCTTGTTGCTGAGGACAGAGCTTATGGACAGGCTGGCGCTTCTCGGTGCACACTCACCCCGAGGCAGCCCAGGGGAGCTGTCGTCTCTCTTTTTCGTGGTCACACTTGATTCCTGTGAGCCTCCCCTGAGCTGCAGTTGAGTGATGTCAGTGACACTGTCCAGGGACGGGGGCACTGCTTTGATTCTTAGGGCTGAGGTTGCCCTGTGGCCAGAGTCAGCCCCTCCCAGGCACTGTTGGGGTTGCAGGCAAAGGCTGGCATTATTTTAGGGTTAGGTATGTGTGAGAACAAGAGCTAGTTACAATTCCCGCTTGTGCTAACCAGAGTGTCAGCCCCTGAGGGCCCAGTGCCTCTGTCCATGGTCCTGGCCCACTCTTGTCCCTTTTCTTTTTCCTGCTTCCAGCCTCCTGGGCCTCAGCTGCTGCTTCTTAGAGCTGCTTAAGCATGCGTCTCTGCTCATCATCACTCTGATTAGAAGTATGAGGGGAAAACTCTGTCTTGGTTCTGTTTGGTGCTGACTCCCAGCTGACCCCTCACCAGTGTTCCCAGCTGCTTGCCAAGGTCAGGCTCCTGGTCAAGGTGTGCCAACCATCTATACCATTGCAAAGAGACTGCAGTGGAGCCACTGCACTGAAACTGGGTGCTGGGCTCTTCCTCCTGAGGAGTGAGAACTGCACATGCATGTCTGGGGTCACAGGTGTTGTGAGTGGTGGGCAGTAACAGTGGGTGTGGAGTGCCAACTGATTGTGCCTCCTGCATGATGGTGCTTCCTGGAGTTGGTGCTGAACCTCATGACAGATCTGAGGTGACACCTGCACACCAATGCCAAGGGAGCTGGAATCACCAGCCCAAGGTGGTCGGGCTTGCGTGAGAGCCCACGTTCTGACCCTTCAGCCAGGGGTCTGTGTTCTACTCTGACCGGGGCCTTTCTAAGTTGAAGTAGGTTGCATGCGTTCCATTTTGCAGAGTGGGTTCCAGAGTCACAAACCACCTGTCTATTTTACCTTCTGACATACTGGACAGTGGTCGCTATGCTTGTGATTCACCTGGGAGTCTCAGTCTTTCACGCTGTATTCCACGAGGTTATGGTAATTGACCAGTTAACTCTGTTGACTTGGCCAGAGTGTGGTGAGCATCTTCCTGTAGAGGATCTGGGCTCGTTTGGTGAGTGTGACAGCACTGCCTTGCTGTCCTGGGGAGCCCAGCACCACTGGGATGGGCTGGGAGAGATGGCTGGCAGATGAACACCCACATGCAGCCTGGGAGGCCCACACCACTCTGCAGCAAAGGCCCTGTGACGCTGGGCCACAGTGAACAGAAGGTGTTTAAATGCATTGCTGGACTCCTTGCAACCAGGGGAGGCTGTCCATGAAGAAATGGACTCTTCAGCCACCAGGGCAGGCCCTCCAGGAAGAAATGGACTCCTCAGCCACCAGGGCCAATCCCTGAGAAAGAAAGAGTGGGGAGCCTCCCTGGTGGCTGGTGCATTGGAGGCATCAGATGCAGGGTTAGGTCTCCCGTGCTGGCAGCGTGTGGAATACGGGACAAGCTGGCCCTGCCCAGGGAAGTTGAGATGCTGTCCAGAGCCAAAGCAGATGGTCCTGCAGTGGGCAAACCAGGTCATTGTTTCAGGACCCCTTGACATCCTTAAAAAAAGAAGAACCAAAGAGCTACCCACCAGTTCTCCTGAATACAAACAATTTAAAAGTATTTAGTAACTTGTTTGAAACTAATTATGGCTAACCCAGGGTATGCTATTATTTTATGATATTATTTCTATAATGAATTAATATTTTCTATAACAAAAATATTTAGTGGTGAGAAAGGCTCCCCCTCACCATTTTGTAAATTTCCTTAGTATCTAACTTAATAGAAGACAAAACAACCATTTATGTTGGTGTAGTCAATATATTGTAATTGGGGGGGGGGGGGCTTGAAGGACATGAACAAAATTCAGCCATACACAGGTATGTGGTTGGAAAAGGGAGCGTTTAATATCTTTTCCAGGTAATTGTGGACTTTTTCTTTAATACTCTATCATAACTCAATATTTGAGGTTTCTGAAGTCCGCTGCACCTCACACACATGTCTGGTTGGCGGCTGTTGCACTTTGTGGCTTTTACTCACGTGTGGCTCTGGAACCTCACACACAGTCATATGGGAAACGCTGGGCGGTGCGCTAATGCAGGGTTGCTCAAGGCTGTCATGGGTTGGTATCCAAACTTGGTTGTGTTGCCCTACAGTGTCAGAGCTTCACGTTCACTGGCATTACGACATTCCCAGCATTCTCATGGAGAAGCTGAAGCCACCAGGCCACAGTGGGGAATGAAAGTCTTCCACAATTCAGGTTCTGTCTTAAAAGCTCAAATACCATAGTGGACAACAGTTACTACCCATTGTTTTCTTGAAACAACAGGCTGAGTTCATTTTTGAGGAAATGTCTGCTGGAGACTCAAATTTTAATAACCAATTTGTCTCACGTGCTTGTCCTTTAAGTAAAAATGGTGTTTTTTGAAGAAGGTGTTCAGTCTGGCTCACACAGAAACCGCCACACTGAGATCTGCCTTGGGAGGTAGTAGCATTGCTCAGCAGGCACCACAGGGTGTCACATAGCCTTCCTGCCCTGCCCCATGGAGTGTCGGACAGCTGTCTCCTCAAGAGTGGGACTAAGCTCATCTTAATAGCATGATTAGACTGGATTTGACTGTAGTGTTTAAGTTCCTACTTCATCAAGGACATTCTTAAAGGAAGCTGCCTTTTGTCTTAAACTGTGGCATGTGGCATTAGGAATGATTGTGGCCTGGCATGAGTTTGTGGTGCTGCATGCATTCCTGCCAGCTGACTCACACGGCTTGTGTCCACAGAGCAGGTGCTAACAATGCCAACATCCTAGTTTTGTCATGGAAATGGTTTTGTTCTCACACACTACTAGAGAAGGTCTTGGGGACACTGGTAGGTGACTGGCCAGCCTTTGAGAACTTTTCCCTGAAAAAAGCTTGGTCCCTATCACAGATGCAGCTCATGAGAGAGTGCCAAGCAAGCTGACGAGGAGTGCCCGAGGAGAAGACCTGGCTGCCGTTTTGCGCTGTCGTCAGGGGCTTGGAGTGCCCCAACAGAGATGGAAGGGCCTGGGGTGGGAGGTTCAAGTGGTGAGGGTAAAGGAGCAGTTCAGAATCAAGAATGAGATGGGAGATTTTCAAAAGAAGTAGAAAGAATTTCTGGTAATGAAAATAATAGTCATTGAAATTTACAACCCATTAGACACAGAGAGAATTAATTGACCTCAAATGTAGTTCTGAGAAAATTACTGAGTAGGCAGCATAGCGAGATGCTGAAAATAAGACAGAGATTAAGACCTGAAACAGAGTATGGACAAACAGATCTAGAGAGAGAAAATGTATTGGAGAAGAGTCAGTGTTTATAAGATTATGGCTGAGAATTTTAAGTTATTGCTTATGTGCAATAAACAAGTCCCTAGAAAGATGAATTGAGCCAGGTGCGGTGGTACACCGCTCTAATCCCAGTGACTCGGGAGGCTAAGGCAGGAGGACCACAAGTTTGAGGCCAGCCTCAGCAACTTGTCGAGGCCCTAAGCAATTTAGACTTTGGCTCAAA